ACTTCTGGTCTCGGCCTCCTAGCATCATATACTGCTTCGGCAGATATTCGTACGTCGAATCGGCCATACCACCCATCGTAAAATGGTTATAGTCCCACGATATTTCTCTAGCATTGACAATGGTCGGCCACAAACCGGGTATACGTGTCGTGTTCTGGGCCCATTCCATCTCCTCTGCAATCCGTTGAACGGCATCAAAGTATTTCAGGTCGCCTGTGAGTTGGCTCAATCGGGTGAACTCGACGGTCAAGCTCCCAATTTCCGCAAGCAGGGTATTGGTGCCGGGTTCGATCTCGCCGCCTAGGGATGTTTTCTTCCAGCTCCACCGCGTCATCGGCATATGGGTGGGAGTGTCAAAGGCAGAATAGAGCATCTCCCCCAACTCCTTGGCTTTGTCGAGGAGCACCCCGTACTTTCCGTCCGTGAGGTCGTATGCGGCAAGGAGACCGCCGAGGTAGCGAATAGTTGTCTCGAAGATGTTCAGTGTGTCTTCGTCATTGGTCGTGAAGTCGATGCGTTTGACCATCTCGACACAGAGATCAAATTCATCGTTCAACCCCATGATGAGGAGGGTATCCATTGTATCGACGAGAGTAGCCCCCCAGCCGCCGAAACTGGAGCGAAACGCGCCGCTGACCGGTGCAACTTCATCCTGACCCCACGCATATTTCTTGTATCCATTCCACGCATGCATGAATGCTTCTTTGACGGCATCTCTTCTTCTTTCCTGCGTTGTCTTCGCATGCGTAGATTCTGGCTGTGATGCGAAGTCGAATTGGATCTTGGGGATTTTCTCGAGAGGGCCTGTGGGCAGGTCCCGGTAACCTGCGGGAGGATATCGCTCGGGTCGTTTCGTCCAGTGTAGGCTGGTCTTGTGGCCAGAAGGAGGAAAGGGGACTGTGGTGGGATTACTGGGATAGAGGTAAATGTAATAGACCAGACAGGCCAGGAAGAACGCTGGCAACAGCCAGACGCGACGTATTAGTATCATGTTGGTGCTCTTGCGGTGGAGTGAGTGATGATCGCCATCAGGTCTGATCTGAAGTCTGACGTGTAGAGAGAAATTAAGATCCGCAATTAGAAACGACCCCCAAATCTTGGAGTTTCAGGGGGGCCTCACCCACCCACCCTGGAGAGACGAGCAGCAAAAGCCCCCACGAGAAAATTTAAGGTTCTCATTAATATGTCGTTTAGATTTTAAGCTTAAATTTATTCACCAACAAAGTTCCCCGCGAATGTCGCACCAGTTTCCCTGTGTGCCTGTTTCCACCACCTTTTTTTCGTGTTCGAGAAATATCCTCGGTGGATATACATCGTCCACATACAGTGAACAGCACGATAGTCTTCCTACTTTCAACATGGCTTTGACGGGGGTATTCATTCTCCCCTTCGGACCAGGCCAGTCCTCTCCATCCTCCGCGCTCATCTCTCACATCTCGCGCTCCTTTCCAGCCGAACCACTCCCGCCTTTCCACCTTGACCACCGCCTGTTCGTCGACACCTCTTCGCTGCTCCCCAACTCGGACACATCTCAGCGTAGAACCACCAGTATACTGACCCTGTCACAGACGCCGGCAAGGACATATATCGCCACGACTGGGCCAAAGGAGAAATCTCAGGGGACAACAGATCATACGGCTTCCGCGCCGTTCACTATAGTCACCATCCCCTCGAGCTCCGCCGATTCATTCACTCAAATCGTTGGCACCAAACTCCAACCGCAATGGGCGCATCGACAATCCATGATCATTGATAATGGCACCGCGCTGTCCCTGGAGAATGGCCAGTGGGTCATACGCATCGGGGATTTGAAAACTCCGACCCGACCAAACCAAGCTGCCAGCAACCTGAGAGGCATGGTGGTGGAAGTCTCCTTCATTGAAGCTCCGGTGGATGCCACACGTGGTCAAGTGCCAGTTGATGCTCCGAAAGACGCCAACGCCAAGGTTGTGAGCAAAGAAGACGAGACCCTGTTACGTGGGATGCTCGAGTCGGTCACCGACGGCAGCGGAATGCCCTCGAATTTCAGCATCGACGCTATGCGGTCGCTGATTCGTCGCACCAACATACATCTCAAGGATAAAGATGCTGGAGATGCTTCGCCAGACTGGGACCTGGCAAATTTGTATTTGGATATCCTACGAGGATCCAGAGGTTGAGGGGAATACCACACTACCGCAGTTGACAAACACCCGAACTTCGAATATCCCCCAGGTGACATCGTACAACTACGTATAGCGACTCTCAACCCCCTTCGCACGCCAATGCGCCAACCTTCGACCCAGCTCTTCGCGCCGACTAAATCGCATCTGCCACCGATAAGGCCACGCACAGTGAAAGTCCTCCACGACTTTGCTCCCATCCACGTCGCGACAAAGCCCGCCCTTACAGCGAAATCGAGTCGCGTCCTCTCGCAGTTGGAGAAGACTGTCAGTCTTTAACCAAGAGCTCCCACAAGCGTGCACGGGAAGCTCCATGCCTCATAAGCATCGTCAAACGGATAGACAACATACTCAAATGATCGAAGATGCAAGACCACTTGGTCCGTTCTTTTGCCTACCATACATGTCGCATATCGCATATCAACCTAGAAGCAAAGCCTAAAACAGACCACCAACCCAACCGCGAGTCCAGGACCAGGAGGAGCAGATCCGCGATGCACGATGCGTGTGTGCCATTCCCACAGAATGAAAAGAAGGGAAAGGGAGAGTTCGACAATCTACAAAGAACCAAGAAGAAAAAAAACAACAGACTTTCAGGTAATCTCGAATGATCTTACCCGATAGGGAGCGGCGTGGGATACATGCATACAACGAATGACAGGCCCTCAAGGGAATTGGGGGGGAATGTTTGGGATAATTGGGTCAAGAGAATGAGAGAACGAGAGATTTGCATTCCGATCATCATCGTCATTGAAAAGGCAATACAGGGATAGAATGCGTGGGATATACCAAATATATCTGCTATTACAAGATCGTTCTACCTCAGTCTTCTCTTCCCTCCACATCCCCCTTCCCACCTTCTTCTCTTCTCCATGATCGCAGACACTTACCACCGTGTTGTCGTCAAGCACGGCCGGAACAGGCAATGAGGCCGATCTTGGAATTGATCCAAACGCCTTCGTCTTCTTTCCTCTCTCCCTCTTCTCTTCCAACGACAGACCCTGGAACGTGCGGATCTCTCTCATGATCATTGCGGGACACGTCTTGATCCTGCTCGTGCTCCTGTTTTCGCTCACGTTCCTGGTGCAACCCATGCTCACCCACGATGCTGTCGACGATAAACTCGCTCACATCCTCAAATGTGACGGTATACCGCGGTGAGTTCGCCATGATCTCCAGCACCGGTCCGATGCCCCACGGGAGGGCGCGAAGGACGGGCCAGACACTCCAGCGCGGAGGCACGTCGGCGGTCGCAACGAGGGTCGGTGACGGTGCCCGCAGTGGCACGGATCTTGCGTCGTCGGCACTAGGAACGGCTGACGAGGTAGATGATTTGGACCGTTGGGGCCGTGGGATCATCTTCGCGGGACAGACGAGGGTCCAGTCCAGATGTTTGGATGATCGCAGGATGGACTCCAGGGGGCGGTGGTGGAGATAGAGCGGTAGACTGTGTCTCAGCAGGTCAGAGAGGAGTGTGACAGCTTGAAAATGAGGTTTAAAGTTTTGAGGTCGCAAAAACAAGTTGGTGGGAGGAGACAAACGAATTTAGAACATACTAGGTGTCCAAAGAGTGAGCCTTCTCAGGTGCTAGTTGTTTGGCACGTCCTCCATCGGATTCGGGCAAATCTAACAGTAACATCCCACCTATAAACCATCCTCTTACCCTCGTCTCGGCTGTATGGACCTCTGCTGACTTTGCAACGTCTTCTATCGCATCAACGGACGCGCGGACGATGCGAGCCACTTCGTTATCGCTGCCAGAAGCCATGTCTTTCCCGTCAGAGACAGAGTTTGAACTCCTTCCCGCGAACATGGGAGCGTGGCCTGCTGCATTGACAAGGACCCGGATGGACTTCTCCCGCATAATTCGAGCCAGTAGATCAGAATCGGTCGCATCCCCTTCGATGATGGAGAGCTTTCGCTTAAGAGCAGGAGATGGAGAAGAGGGTTTAAATCCCTCTCGGCTTCGGTGTTGTGTACTGTAGAGGATGCGGTTCATTTTATCCCGGCTCCTGACGACAACAGTGACATTCACTGAGGGTCTCTCGAGCAGGCTGCCAAAAATGCGGGAACCCAGGGACCCCGTAGCGCCGAGGAGAAGAACATTGATGGTGCTTTTGCTTGTGAGATTTGTGGCCATCATTGAAGGGCCCAGACTTGGAATAGCAACGAGTAGAATGACGCTTGCTGCGAGAATTTGGTCGTCCACTGGCACGGGCGGGATATAAATATGTAGACGTACACTGGGAGTCGAGATGCAGCTCGCCCATCAGAGGTTGAATACCCGGCATCGGCAACCCATCCAAAATGTATATAAGTGCCAGTGCCCAAGGGTTCAAGGATGACAGCATGCATATTGCATCTAGCGATGTTTGCCGGGTTCACTTGGGACAGATTTACCGCTCGGGTATACACAGTTTTCTGGTGAGGCAGGACTATTCGCAGTCCAGAGGTCGGGTATCCGGGGAGTCTTGGTTAGCTTCGCGGGTATAGTGGTGGGTCCTGGTTCACTCCAGGATACTCAATCTTCGACGTCTGAGTGGAGATATATGTGTGTTGCGCTCTCGAAGGATCGGAAACCGTGGCTATTAAAGAGGGCTTGTTCTCGCACGGCCAGTTCAGCGGAAGGTGGAATCAGCTCGTGGTCACCGTATTGCTTGATCTGCGTAGTACTCCTTCGGCACGGTCTTCAGCTTGCAGTATCTGGCACGATCTTCCAGAACTCTGTGCAGGGATTCCATCAATCAAGCAAGTCGTATCTGCACTCCTGACTGGGGCCTGGTGCTACCCGGATTGTTGGAATATCGAGATTAATTCCATTCAGAGTGCCGCAGGTAACTATCCATCAGCCGGAAGCCAAGATAATGACGACAGTTGCAAATCGTCAAAATTGAGATAGTTCAGGAAGTTGACCGGAGTCTCCATTGTAAGCATAGCGGCTTGATGAGAGTCGACTTCCATCGCGCTTGAGTCCATGACTCCAGGTCCTTGTTGCGCGTGATTGAGGCCCAATACCTCTCTGGCAATGATCTGAACCTCGTGCAGAGTCCTGCGGGCTAGTGGCCACACCGGAGCAAAGGGTCGGAGACAGCCAATGCACATACGGATCTGGTCGCGAGCCACGGCCAAGTTTCGCCCCGTCAGAAGAAACTTACACGCAGACAAATGTGCGACGATAACGGAGGAGACCATGCAGACCGTGAACGGCGTATGGTACGCAGGCTTCGTAGACATCGCAAGAAGTCGTACCACACAGTCTATGGATCTGAGACAACGGGCGGTGTGGATCCCCCGGAAAGATTGCTCGGAACAAGGCGAGACTTCGGGAGGGTCTGCTGAGCAGCTGGGTGAATACTCCAGAGGATTGTAAGAGAGCTCCGATAACGCTCTGTGGAATCCCACGGTGGCACTATCACAAGAGAAAAGTCAGTATTGCCATACTTACCCCGGTGAGACCGTGTTGACGTCCATGTATGAAAGGAGATTGTTTCTTCAAATGCTAAGGGAGCCCTCACGCGTGAATCGCCATATGTGCTTGGAACATATGTTCGTCAATTTCGCCTCCAGCAGATGCAGTGACTTGCTTCGTTTCCGGGAGCGAGAGCAACCACCCGTCAATGGCAACGTCTACGACCTCAAAGACGCTCAACGAATGCCCCGATCTAGCCACAGTTGCCAGGAATCTGCTTATTGAGGATGCGATCCCACGGACGGCGCCGATAAGATAGGCAAATGATGGGAAAACGAGATCATCAGATGCAAACTCGCGGGTATCGAAATCAGCAAGCGTCCAAGGGGTCGGAATCATCTAGAGAAGCACATAGAGGAGGAAGTGTCAGCAAGCCGTCTAACACAAGAGGAGTGAGAGGAGATGTCAAGGGGAGCTCACCCCCGATTCGTATCCCTCCTCATCACAGGGTAGTTCCGTCGTCATTTCCACCTCGTTGGTTGTAAAAGTCGGAGCATGCCTTATGGCTGCGTAGTGGGCGTCAATGATGTAGATCTGCCACCACGTCCTCCTCCAGCTCTCTTCGACGACCGGGTCACCCTCGCCATGGTCCACAGCGAAGTCGGCCTGATTCATGGAAAGTTGAAGGGCGATACGAATCGCAGCGTCCATCATTTCCTGTGCTCGGTCCAGCTCGTCACACCAGTGAAGGGAAATCGACTGCAAGAGATAACATTGTGCCAGGACAGGGCTCGGTGGGGTTTGCGACGACAGTTCGAGGATAGCGTCAGTCGCAATTGCTTTCAGCTCGTCAGAGTTGACTGAGTGGGCATACAGTGAGCCGATGAAGCGCATCACGGCGAGCAAAGGGTGAAAGTTCAGCTTGGTGGTGCCCAGCGTCAACAATCTTTCGAGGTGCCGAAGGGGGACAGCCAGGGGATGGAATTTGTGGAAGTGTCTGTAGTAGAGATGGACGAGGGCATCGATATTGGGACTGATGAGGTTCGAGCTTATAGTCTCGAGATGCTGTGCTCTCTCTTCTCCTGTATTTCTCTGGTCATTTTCAGACAAGGCCGAGACAATACTGATGCCGGACTCCAGCGCAGTAGCAGGAGAACTAGCTCCTACCAGGTTTCGTCGTGCCGCCAGAGCCGCCCGGGTCAAGCCTCCCCTGCGAGATTTAGTGTAGACGCATTCACTGCCGTCCAAAGAACACCGAGAGCAAGGTCTTTTAGCATTGCATTTTACATGTGCGGCGCGGCAGGCCACACACGCCAGGGACACCCGTTTCGCAGGAGCTTTGTGAGGTGGAGAGGGGGTTTGGGCGCAGTCCATCTTCTCTTCCCGGGGGTTTACATGTTTGCCAGACAGGAGGTGCGATCCGTTGGGAAATGAGGCTGTCGACTAGAGGCGTCAGCATGGACAAATCGGAAAGATAGCAGATACAGTGATTCCTTCGATAGTGTTGCGGGTGATGGAAGTCGTCGGGAATCCGATCAGGTGGTTGATTCCCGGTTACCCGGTTGAGGTTCTTTCTTACCGAGTTTGCGATTCAACTCCGAGGAGCAACCCAACGTTCCGTATGCCCATCTCAGCGTTGAGATATGTGATGCTCGGTCGTGGATTTGCCATGGAAAGAGCGGCAAAGCATGAGTGACTATTTCTATCCTAGGTTGAGATACTCCCTCAGATACATTGTTGGTTTCGTGGCTCAAGCATCAACAAGGCAGAGACAAAGGCACTGCCTCCTCTGGTAAACCTCTATCATCCTGCTTCTGACTTCATTCTATTCTCCATAAAAAATGGTCCTATGAAAGCTCCACAATACAGTAGCACCTGCTGCTTCGAACCCTCACTCATATCGCCACCGAAAGTTGGGATTGGCTCAAGAGACTTTCCTTTGCGCTGTTGACAATCATATGTCCATAGTATGAGCGAATCGCTGACATTCCCGGCCTCAAGCTTGCCCGCGTCCGCGCCTGTTCTTCATTCACTGTTGATTTCGGGATCAAAAGCCCTGGTGCCCTGGGCTTGGGCGTTCTCCTCGTCTGTATGCCCGCGAGTTCTTTCCAAGTAGTCTTCAAACTCTTGCGAGATATCCATCACCTGCTCAATATGGCTGTACCCTAGCGACTCGTTCCTGTACTTCGCCACTTGAGTCGCTGTCCAAAGGCAATTGCGAATCTGTCGGCCGTTAAAGCGTCGTCGTGCCATGACCAAAGCCTTACGTCTGAGCTCTTCGTAAAGCATGGGCACTTTCTTCCCGTTCAGGGCCTCGATGAAGTTGCACCAGATCTCGTATCGGTCCTCACAATTTAGAACTGGATAGTGTATGGCGAGCTGAACACGGGATTTGAAGGCTTCGTCGAATGTGCCGACACGGTTGGTCGTGAGGATGAGAATGCCATCGTAGTACTACTCTGGTCAGCTTCCGTGCATACGACAGCAATTGGGAGGTTTGGACTACCTCCAAAACACGCAAGAATACCGATACTAGAGCATTCCGTGCAAGATCGGTAACTTGCCTCTCCTCCAGAAACACATCCGCTTCGTCAAGCAGCACAACACACCCCCAGAGACTACCCAGGAGCAGAACGGACTCGAGATACTTTTCCACCATCTCGGCAGATGTTCCAACATCGCCACAAGTCACACGGTACAAGGGTTTCTTTGCAACCTCGGCCACGGACTCTGCTGTCAACGTCTTCCCTGTCCCCGGGGACCCATGAAGAAGCATGATCAGGCCATTTCCTTTGTTCTCCACAAAGTCAACGTTTTTCGCACTGGTCAAGTGAATGCTCACGAGGGCTCTGATGGTATCCTTCTTGTTCGACTTTAAAACGAGGCGACTAAAGGCTTCCTCGTTCCAAACGACATCCTCGATATGCTCGACGGAGAGGCTTCTCCATTTCTTGTCGTGGAACGCATACCCGACAATTGTGGCAGGCATGAGAACGGAAAAGGTGTCGTTTGGGGGCTCCTCTGCTCCCATTGTTACACCCTGTTCCGACATCTCCCTTTCGCTTGCCAAAGGCTTTTCCAACTGGGACGGGTGAATCTGTCGGAACGTCTTGTAGTCCACCATGTATTTGGGGTTTGTGACCTGCAGCTCAAAGATGGTCGGGAATGGCGCGTTGTAGCTTACGAGCCTTTGGTGTCGACAGCTCCAGAATTTTCGTCCACGAGCCACCAGCCTCTCCCGAAGGCCTGTCTTATCAAGTCGAAGTGGGAAGGTGGAGAGGCTGCTTATCTGCAATTCGTCCGGATTTGTTGATGGCCATGGAACTGTTATGGTGGCATTGTGTTTTTTGAAACTGCCGTCGAAGTACCAAGTCCAGCAGCTGAGGGTAATATCAAACTTGGAACTCAACTTGACAGTCTCTGTAATATACGCACGCGGGTGATCTTCCTCGATGGTCACAATGAGTTCGTTCGGGGCGAAGAGCTTGCCGAAAGTGTCTCGATGGACCTTGCCGCACGCAAAGTCCCGGTCAATCTTGTCGAAATTAGCGCCCTGTATCTCGTTAATGCAGTGAAGCAGTTGAAAAAGCTGTTGTTTTTCCGGTTGAGGCAGGCTCGGAGCACATCGATCGCGTAGCTCGTGGCGGAAATGATAAAAGTAATCATACGGTGCATAGAGATCTCGAAAAGGGTCCCAATGACCCATGGGCGGTTTGCACAATGTTGTGTAGTCCTCCAGCGCAGTCTTCAATCCCGTCGATATGACGATCTCTTCCGAGCCCGGTTTAGCAAGAGGGCCAGGAGTCGCAAGGGTGCAAGCGTACGGCCTGACTTTGCTAGGGAGACGAGACTCTAGACTCGGAGGGACGGCACCGAAAGCTTGTCTGATTGTTCTGTGGTAATCAGCACAGTTGTAGCCCCTGACTATTCGGATCGGGCCGTTTCCTTGCAGCTGTTGCATCACGGAGAGCCGGTGCTGGCCGCGTAAGGCTGACCCTCGATGGTCATTTGTATAAAGTCGTGGTGGGTCTAGAAAGTCTGCTGAGTCTGGGTGTTCACTGTGGTCCTCGCCGTCGATATCGGGATGATAGCAATGAACACGGTGGATGATGGGACACTCCCGGTCGAGAGATGGATCATCTTGGGCATTTTTCTTGGAAGTTCGAGTCTGGGGATCGCCGTCCATCTCGTTGCGTCACTTTCGACTTTCTGAAGTCTCTGTCGAGAAAGGTATGCTTGTCAACAGCACAGTAGAATAGTGGATCTGTCAAGAGCAATGTCGGGGCTTGTTCTGTTCGGTGCTGGAAAAGTCAAAAACAACAACAATGGTAAGGCAGCGAAGCAAGCCTGGCGCCCACTTCCAGGAGGGTGAACAAATATCATGCAATGCCTGATATCACCTTCAGTTGGGAGAGTGTAATGTTGACAAGGCGCTGCTCAGGCGCAAGTTTTCGAGGTGCGCGGTTGGCCTTACAAACCGCACGTCTGATCTAATCGTTGGCACGCGACTAGAAGATCACAATGAACAATGATTCGTCGTCTCTCCCTCAGGCTGCCACCACTGTCCATTCTCGTGGCGTCAATGCAATGTACAAGATTCTGTGAAGATGTTTGTTGCTGTCACAACTGAAGTTCAGTGTCAATTTTTCGCAGGTTATTGCCACACTGATAAGCATTTGAACTATTCAAAATTGCAGTCTTCGAGGCTCCGAGAGAAACACTGGTCTGACTTCGGCGAGATTGGCCTCTCCTTGGACTGATCCATCGTCTTCTACCTAGCTGCTTCCACCTCAAGTTGGCTTATAGTGTGGCGTTTCCATCACGGGATAGCCTGGATAGGGACAATTGGGATGCCCGCTCAGCTTCTCGAATTGCAAGTATTCGTCCAAATAGCTCTATCAGCTTTGAAGAGGAGAGAGGCTCCTCGATAACCGTAATGGTAGAACCCTGAAGTTGGTCAGAACGGGACAAGAGAAGAGGTGATCTGATCACAAGACACATACCTGATTTCGAAATGAAATACCCATATCTAACAAAGCTTTGGGGTGCACATCTTTGGAGGCAATCTCCGTCCATGCCCTAGAGCAGGAGATCACTTTGTGGTTTGCAATCTCGTGGTGTGCATTCACCACCATCTCTGCTGGTTCGTTGGGCTCCGTGATGCACGAGTAGATCTTGGACAGAGCCACTATTTCTTCAATATAGCTGCTCGGGAGACATTCAGGTACCTCGATAATTCCCTGTACAGCTTATCAGGTATGACCAGTCATTGGAGCTTGCAGAAAGGCCTCACATTATCACCCTTGTGGTATGAATATCCCAGTTGATCGAGGGCTTTTTCACACACCAAATACTTCGCAAACGTTGTCATTCCAGTAAGAACCGGCTGTTCGTATTTTATCGCCACACTTATTCCTCTTTGGAATGGAGGCCTCACTTCCTTGGTCTCTATCATTTTATCGCCCACCTTACTCCAAGTATTTACAGTACTTATGACGAATGCATATCCCCGCGTATTACGTTTGGACACGACAGGAGTAAAGTTTGTGACTCGCTGAGTTCGCAATGCGGAAAGAAGCTGTCGGATGACAGATGCTGAATCGCCCGATCGATCTTCTGAAATCGTATGGGTGAGAAGGGCGAGTTTAGTGGAAGATGACGCCGACAGTGGCTTCAGCGTCGGCGTTTTCTTGTCATAGTGAACCAATGTAAGCATCTCGTTAAGCTTCGTCGCTTGGTCGACTAAAGAATGTTCAGATGTAGGCGAAGCAGTAGCATTTTGCTTGTTGGCGTTTGTCTCCAAGTTCACCGCTTCTCTTCTTATCAGCATGGAGCTAGAGTCGTCTGGATCGTCCCATATCTCGGTCCACACTACCTTCACAATGTGGTCGTAACCTGCGTCAAGTTGATACAAGTAATTGTTGTTAGGTCGGTGTTTAGGAACTTGCGGGTTTTTTGCAGCAGTTGATTGGGTCTTCACATTCGGCCTGACCCGGACTTTCAGTACGAATCTTTGTTTATCGTCACGATAAACATCACCCTGTTCTTCCCAGCACCACTCTCGTTCTGCAGCTTGCGGATTTTCCTGGGATTGAACAGGATCTCCTTTTGTCTGGCTCCCTTGCCCAATGCTGTGGCCAAGAATGCCGGCATCCACAGCAGGCTGGTAGACTGCAACGCTGACTCTCGGATCAAGTGCATCAAGGCGCTGGGCTGGAGAAGCGAGCCTCGAGAGCTCTGGCTACGGATTTTGGAGAGGCGATTGTAGCCGGGCGAGATCTGGGGCAATATTTCGCCCAAAGTGTGAGCCTTCAAATGCTGTCAACGGAGAACGCTCGAGAGGGTGGGCAGAAAGAACGGGGAGTGCGTTGGCTCCTTTCAGGCGGATTCTTGCGTCCATGTTGGGTTGAAGAGGCACGACTATCGGTACCCACTAGTATACGAGCGGCGTGTAGTATGTCTCTTGAGCGAGCGGTCCGTAGGAGAAAGTTACCGCGTTGAATAAAGCGAAGGAGGAACAGCGATGCTTGTCAACCCTTGCAGATCGCATGTGTCGTGTCTCTCGAGCTGCTAGTTGAGATGGATATAGCTGCCGATTCTTGAGTAACGGCAGCATCATGGACAAGAGGATGGAGTTCTTCGCGGGACAAGGGTTGGCCGAGAAGATGTTCAATGTTGGTGGTCAAATCCATGATCAGCACAGCCCCGGCCGCCTGGGGACAGCCACGCATCGTCCCGAAACGGCTGCAGGCCTTGGCCTGGTGAGCTTTGACTTTTGACTTTTGCACGGCTTTTGCTTTACGCTCTATTTGATTCAACGAATGTGCCATTTACACCATTTACGCCATTTCAATATAGTACACAGGTCTTAATCAAAATAAAGGGTGGCCTCCAGAATCCTGCGCGCAAATCAAGGTATATTGAAGTCAGCTATCTCAATACAAACCACAAATCACCTTGCCCTCGACGGTTTACAAGGGATAGATCTGAAAACAGCAAGAGAGCCTCATCACACAATCAAAGGAAGAGAAAATCTCCCATTCGTGTCCACGCTAATCAACATGCAGGGAGGTAAATCTGTCGAGTATTGCTTGCACTCTGCATTGGTTACCGAGATCGGATAACGGATATTGCACGCCCTAGAGCAGCACCATTTGCCCGTGGCCGTGGCAAGCGTCTGGCTGCTGGCACAGGGGAGGTCATAGTCACAACGATTTGACCACGACCTTGGGGGTCTGGGTATGCTACCTTGAAGCTGCCGGAAGTGACTAGCAGAAGCTTCATTATACAACCGTCTCGCGACGCACCCTCGAAGACGGCGTTCAATGTTGCGTATAGCTTGTTTGGCGACTCCAAACTGCTTCCTTTCCGGCGACATAAATCTTCAGTTGCGACGAGAACGAAACAACGTGGTATTTTGGAGAAAACGAGTGTTGCCATGCTAGCCCATTCGTCCAGGCTATGCTGGCGCTCATAGGATGAGACATCACCAAGCCGCGGTTCTCGTGAAGGAATTGATGGGTCTTGCTGGAAAGCTTGAAAAATCAAGCTGCGGAGGACATCGCTGACAACGATTGCTTTTTTGCTCTCGCCTGGGTCCGAGATACACCAAAATATGGGATATGACGATGACTTGAGCAGCGTTGTCACCTCCACAACCATAGCCAAGGTGCGTTGTAAAGCTTGCGGTGCGCTTCTGACGATAAGCATCGAGCTTCTGGGTAGCCGGGTCCATTCCTTCAAACATTTGATTGTCACCATCGTGGCTCGATCATTTTGCTGCCAGGAGACTCGCCGTCTCGAGAAAGACTGGCAGATGCGGAGAATATCCTCGGGTGGTTTCGCAGGACGCAGGGCTTGGATAATTGAGGAGACCTGCACGCGACTGAGTATAGCTTTTGAGTCACCTACATCAAGTTTGACGGCTTTCAGGAGGTTGTGGCTGTTCATGGTATGCTGAATGAGTTGCTGTAGGCTCTGCTCGTGCTTTTGACTCGAGATGGACACCAATTCCAACTGCGCCTGCATGTCCAACAACCGCTGCTCTATCTGTCGTTGACGTACAATCTGTTCTTCCAGGACAAATGACTGGCCACGGATCTCGGCACGGCCCGCAGTACTGGCAATCAATTCCACGTTCTTAGCACAAAGTTCGATGTCTGCTACAGTTTCCTGAAAAGGGAGTTGGGAAGGTCGGAAGACGGCTTTCAAGGCGCGCCTGGTACGATTCGCAGTGTACCACGTAACGGCTCTCTGGAGGAACAGCATGATATGTGCGTACAACTGAGCCACGGCTTCTTTCATCTGAGGTGTGTTGTAAAGCGCCAGTTCCACACGAATACGCGGCAGAACGTCGCCGATGTGGGCCAGGGCCTTTGCTAGTTCTTCCGCGTGTTGTGAATAGTTGGACACACCCTGAGATCGATCAATGCCATTTCTTGTATCCACGCACAGGGGCGTACAGCAAAAATAAATTTAACAGCTCCCCAAGCAAGCCCCGCATGAAGGGGGTCGGCATTGGCGAGGATGTCTAGCACAGCGCCATAACGGGCCATGTTCGCTGCAAAGGCGCCAATCCACCTCTTCGTTCTGGCATGAGGCTCCGACCGATCATCATAGGAATCCCGTGCCCGCTCGACCGTTTTCTTGACGTCTTCGAGCGAGGTCTGGCCACGGATCCATGCTCTTTCACTCGGTGTTTCAGCCAACGCTCGTTCGAAATACTCGACGGCCCTCGCATACGCGTCCGCGGCGATACTTGTAGAACTATGGTGCTCTGTGAGCTATGTGCCTAGCAATACCGCAGGGAAGTTCTCACCTTGTATTTTGGCCAGAGCACCACCAAGCCGTTATCTCATCCTGAGGTCGGGCCACCGTGAGCATCTCGGCGCACGATCAGGTTGGCGACTCCGCAGGCTTCCCGCTCATGGAGCGAGGCATCTCGACAGACTGGCAACATCCGCAGACACCCAGTCAGGCTGGGTGATGAGCAGAGCTGGCCTCGACCTGCGGGCCGCTAGCCGCTAACCGCCAGTCGCAAACCGCCAGCCGCAGTCCGCTGCATCCAGTTATTGCACCAAACCAGTGTTGCAAGCGAGCGAATTGTTGATGGCTCGCTCTTACCGTGCAGGCTTGGCAACTGAAGCCTGAGCAAAAGCCGTTTCCTCTTGAGTCCCACGAATTCAATCTTTCTCTCCTTCACACTAATAACTAGACCTCGCCCTCCGCCAATTATCACTTCTCATCCCGGATCACAGCCCGTCCGCGTGCTCGTGCCTGCCTGATCCAAATGACCTCAAAACAAGGATTGCCACGGTGATCGTAACATCGCAAAGGCTGCATATCGACACTGTGCACAGCAAAAGACGCTCCATAATATGAGCGTTGCCAAGAACGTGTAGACTGAGGCGTTGTGTTGAGGGGCAGAGAGATAGACGCTTCCCCTGCCGAAGGATCTCACAACACGCCTATTCTCACGATTAAACCCCTAATTCTGTTTCAAACGATGCCTCTTACTCCCGAAGACATCGTCAGAAAGTACATTGACGACGGAAGTTCGCTGGAGCGGGTGAACCAGCGCAAATCCAATCTCAAGATCGCCATCGTCGAGCCTAACCCGGTGTGGCCGCAGCGCTTCCTCGACGTCAAAGCCCGGATTGACGCTGCGCTGGGGTCGACAGCGCTCGCAGTCTTTCACGCCGGATCGACCAGCGTGCCCGGCCTGCCGGCCAAGGACGTCATCGACGTGGACCTGGTGGTGCGGGACGTCGAGGACGAGGCCGCGTACGTCGACGCGCTCGGGCGCGCGGGCTTCGTCTTCCTCTTCCGCGAGCCCGCGTGGCACCAACACCGCTTCTTCGTCGACGAGGGAGACCGCCCACTTGATGACGGATACCCGGTCAACCTGCACGTCTTTGGGCCCGACTGCCCGGAGGTCGAGAGACACCGTATCTTCCGCGAGTGGCTCGTCCGGTCGCCCGATGACCGCCACCTCTATGCCACCGTCAAGCGCGAGTGCGCCACGGCCGCCGAGACGGCCGGCGAGTCCATGCAAGAATACACGGTGCGCAAGGACAAGGTAGTCGGAGAGATTCTGGACCGCGCATTTCGCGATCTGGGCTATATCAAGTAATTTCAATCAATCAATCCTCCTAGCTGTACTCATCCATCATTAATCGCCCCACAACCCTTTTCTCCTCGCCTCGACACGATATACTTATATCTATCAAATACAGTAGTCAACAGCAGACACTACCAGATACCACCAGACATCAACATACACTAGTATATACATACCAGCATACATTCGGAATACCCAAAAAGAAAAGGAAAAGGAAAACAAAAAAGACACAAGAGAAAGGCAAAGGAGGACCAAAACCAGAGAGAAAAAGAGAAGAGAGAAAAACAAGATATATCCTGCGCGCTCAGATATCTCTGTCTCACAAGTAGGTAGATAAGATTGAAAGTATCCATAATCATGGTCATGGTCATAATCGTGACGAGTGCAATATGTATGTACCTGTACCTACTACCTAGGTGTATATATTTAATATATGGTATGTACGTATATCCAAGCACTTGGGCACAGAATACTACATCATGAATGATGATGATGCTGATGATGATAGATAATTCCACTATCGATGTGGTTGGGACAGAACAATAAAATCAAACATGACCTCCCAATCTCCCTTCCGGACCTGGAAATGCAGCAATTTGCCGATAGCGAATGCAATGTGAGAAAACCGCCCCGAGTCTAATGGAATGATCGCTTTCTTTTTTTCGCGGAGCGTCGAACAAACCAAAACTTGAATGGACTTGGTGTCCCGCGACAAATCTTCTTTTTGGCTTGTTCCTTATTCCTGTAGCCAGAAAACGCCGGTCGCTATGCGCCCGCCCCATGCAAGTCGAATAAAAATCCATAACAGCAAACTACCATCCCAGCGGTTCCATATTTTGGGGAGAAAAAGTGGACGACAGGATATTCCTAGGAGCTGACTCCTGTTCATTTCCGACGGTGTGGCTTTGTACCCCAATTGTATCCAAGGGTGGTATAGCTCCGAGGCGGGATTTCTTGTGCGAACAAAGACCCTCGACTTTGCTCACCAGGTCTCTGCGATGTATTGACCCGAGCTCTTTTTCTCATCCCAGAAGCTCTGTGCCTCCTCACGATTCAACTTGCCCTTGGCCATTGCCACATCAATCAGCGCGGCCTCGACACCTTCACCCATACCCTTGGAACTGCCACAGACAAAGATCCTCCCGTCCACGGCGTTGATGATAAACCAGACCAAGTCTGCTTGGGCACGGACTTCTTCCTGGACGTAACGGCCTTGTCCCCGTCGAGATTGGACAACTTTCTTCACTTTGTCTTCGTGGACGCCCCAATCACCGGAGTAG